CACCTTTTAGAAAAACATAGAACAGACATATGGTAGTTTCCAGTGCTGATTTCCTGTTAAGTTTGGAACTAATCAGAGAGGAAAATACATTCAAGGTTGATAAAGAATCTTAAGAGCTAAAAAATGAATTCTGGTTCACCAAACCGAGCCATTCAAAAGGAAATGCCACAATATTTACTACAATTTTATTGTACATTTTTTAACCTCGCCTGTTACACAGAAGATATGACATGGTTTAAAGATAAACATGTAACGGGAAGCCATAAATCTAAAAGCATACTTAAACATTAGACTAAAGAAGAGAGAGATTTTTAAATTGGGAGTTTAGCACTATGAGAATAATTCATTATTTTAGTAAAAACAAAGACCATAACAACATTTTCTTCTCAATCTATTAAAGTGACAATCCATATAAATAAGAAATTTCAAGGAAGTGTGGAAAGCAGAGTTCCTGGGGGCTTACAGTTAAATATAAAGTAGGAAGAAAGAGGAGCAAATCATTTAAATCAAATTCTAACCTCTGCTTTGACAGATTATTGTGTTTCCTCAAAAGTGTTTCTGAATGAATATTTTGGATGATTATTTAACTAAAGTAGATAATTCAAAGCATGGAATCTGATACATGGTATTAATTAATCAATATTTTTATCTTCCTTAAATGCAAACGAAAAGCATATTGCAATACAGATTTTGAACCCTTTTGACAATCACTAATCTTATAGGAGACACTTAAAAATCTTGGGATGTTTGACTTTGAGAGCTTCACCTAAAGAAAAATGACTCTCGACCAAAAACTAGTAAAAAATTCAAAATAGGGCCAGGCTCAGTGGCTCAGCCTGTAATTCCAGCATTTTGGGAGGCCAAAGCTAGTGGACTGCCTGAGCCTGATGGTTTGAGACCAGCCTGGGCAACTTGGCGAGACTTCATCTCTACAGAGGATGAAAAATTAGCCAGGCGCGGTAGCACACGCCTGTTGTTCCAGCTACTGGGAAAGCTGACGCAGAAGGATCACCGGAGCCCAACAGGTCAACGCTGGAGTGGCCGTGAGTGTGCCATGGCACTCCAGCCTGAGCAACAGAGTGAGACTCCAACTCAAAAAATAATAATAATAATTCAAAATAACCCTTAAAGGTTTTTAATTTTGGTTTTGTTTTTTGTTTTTTTTTTGAGTTGGAGTCTCACTCTGTTGCCAAGACTGGAGTGCAGTGGCCGCTCTCGGCTACCGCAGCCTCGACCTGCTGGGCTCCGGCGATCCTTCTGCCTCAGCCTTCCCAGTAGCCGGAATTACAGGCATGCACTACCATGCCCGGCTGATTTTTTGATTTATTGTAGAGATGAGGTCTCGCTGCCCAAGCGGGTCTCAAACCCACGGGCTCAGGCAATCCACTCACCTCAGTCTCACAAAGGCACGGGATTACAGGCTGAGCCACCGAGCCCGGCTTAATTTTATTTTAATCTGCCAATTAAATAACAATTGTTGCATGCATTTTGATTTGTTTTCCATTTATAAAATAACATATGCTCACTGTATAAAAAAATTATTTTAAACACGGACACATCTGCAAAGAAAAAAAAAGCTCTACCAACCTAACCCTAATTACCTCACACCTTCCAGTGTTTAACCTTTGATAAATCTCTTCAAGCTTCCCCAAGAGCATCTGAAAGGAGGATGCTTATGAGTGATGAGTGTGCCCTCTCAGGGCCTGCTTGTGGCAGGAGAGCCATGTTGCACCCCCTAGGATCTGACCTCACCTTTAGGAAAGTCCAGCCATCAGAAAATTAGAGCTGTTGCCTTAACCCAATTCTAGGAAACCTTAATGTTTCGTCAAAAGTGAAGCAGAATTATCTAGAGGTTTTCTATATAATCTAAATAAAGAATATCTTATATAGCAATGGAAATCTCTTAAGGTTTTAATTATCCTATTTCATACAACTCACCTTTGATTTTTTTTCTTTTCTCAGTAGAGAGCCTCCAATCAGGATTAAGGTCATCATAGCCTGGCTAAATAGGAAAATATGCACATAACTTCCTGAGGCAACTATGTAAGAAGATTATTAGAAAATCATTAAGAACTATGGAATTCTTTTAAGTAAAAAAAAAATCATAGAGATGATGCTTTCCCTTGATCTCTCAGTTACAACTAACTGAAATATATTCCTTGCCAAAATAGTCTGGAAGAGCAATTGTTTTTACACTTAAAATATACACATGTGGGTACTGTGAATCAATTTAATAAAGAAAATAGCATTCATAAAAATATAAGATAGCAAGTATATGATCAATACAAATGAAAGTAAGATATACTAAGATATACCTGTATACATCACACCTACATATTGGGAAGACAGATGCTATGTTGTTATAAACAAAAACTATGCTGGAAATAGGTCTTAGCCTGCAACTTGCAAACTGAGAAACCCCTCCAGGCCTTGGTTTTCATAGTTCTGAAACTTGACTATGTCCATCTGCATGTTGCCTCCCAGTTCTAACTTTCTATGACCAAAAGTAAAAAATATATAACCATGCTATCCTCAGAATGAATCCATTCATATTCCAATCTGCGGCAACCTTTGAGAACAAAATAGCACATCGGTATCTCTCAAGTATCATAAAACAATTGAGATTAAGTCATCACCAGATACTCCCTTGGCTTACTGCACCTGAATAGTATTAAAAGTTTCCATAATTACAACAGTATGGAAAAAGACCAGTTAAAAAAAAGTCACTGGGGAGTTTATTTGGAATCTTAAAGTGAAAAACAAAAAAAGTATTGCCATAATTAAGTCAAACAAAATATGTACTTTCATCTGCTGCAATAAAATAAACATGCATGTTTTATTATCAATTCATCAATGGCTTACACTTGAAAGTATTAAAATAGATATTTATTTCCATAGCCCGAAATAACTTCCTGCTCTCCACTACTGTAATAAATCACTCAGAGCTGTCCCTGAGAGCAGAAGACATAACCTTTAAATTTTATCAGAAAAAAAAGTTACCACAAAAGGCTATTCATATGCCAAGGGAAGAAATGGAGTATACTGCCTTACCTAAATATTTTTTTTAAATGATTACATTTCAAATAACTATTGTACAATAAGGTATATATTACTGAAAATAATCAACTAAATTGAAATCATATTTGACCATTTTAAAGCATTTTAGAATTGTCCAATGCTTCCAAGTCACCAGAACTACATGTTCCATATGCATATACCATTTATTAACATAACATGTGCAATCTCCCTACTTATATTCTGGAGTATACAAGGGTAGTTTGTGGAATCAAAAAATTTAAGCCCCTGAAACAGCAGCAATGGTTATGATTCAGCCTTGGGTACATTTAAGGACATATGGATTACAATGAAATTTGACAAAAATCTTGACAAAAAATTAAAAAGAAATAATCTCATTGGCATAAGCATACTGAGAATTCCAAGTGTGCATATCTTTATCAAAGTCAGCAATTAAAAGAAGCACCAAGAACAAGCAATACTTAGCACTAAAACCAAGGATTTCAGTCACCTTGGGACTAAACTGTTCCTTGCATACTGCTTAAATAATGGGCATATCCTGCTCATTCAATTTTAAACACAAAGTGAAGACCTGTTCTTCTACATCCAGAACTCTGTCATACTCATCCTTGTATTCCCAGATCCATCACTGCCCTCTTGTCATAGTGACTAAACGGCGAACGAGTAAATAAATTCATCAGTCTTTTAAGTCACTGAATTCTAACGAGAATGTCTAAGCTATAGCAAAATCATTTCACATAGTACTAGTCTTCCTACATCCGCTCAAAAGTGTGGTTTCTTCTATTTAGTCAATAATACTGTGCGTTTACACTGTGAGGGACAGAAGGAGGGAAAAAGTCAGACATTATAGGCTCAACACAAGCACAGAGCTTAGAAATCAATATAAATTAATATAACCCAAGGTCAAATTTAATAACCACCCAAAGAGAGGTATAGATTAAAATACCAGGGTCTTCAAAGGATTAAGAAAAAATTTTGAATATGGGCTTAAGGATGTTGAAGGGAATTCAAGAAATGTCAAGAAAGCCTTATGGTACTAGACCTTTACGACTAGATAAGATTTGGATGTGAAAAATGGATAAGGAAAAACATCCCAGCCCAAAAGTCTACTATGAACAAAAATATAGAAGAAGGAAAATACAAAATTTATTCAGGGGAAATAAAGTAGATCAGTTTAATTGAAGTACAGGGCAGCAGGCCAGAAGTGGTGGCTCACATCTATAATCAATCCCAGCAATTTGGGAAGCCAAGGCGGGAGGACTGCTTAAGGCCAGGAGTTCGAGACCAGCCTGAGTCTCTACAAAATAAAAATAAAAAATTAGCTAGACATGATGGTACATGCCTGTGTTCTCAGCTACTGAGGAGGCTGAGACTGAACAGTTGCTTGAGCCCAGAATTTCCAGGCTGAGTGACAGAGTGAGACGCTGTCTCTAAAAAAAGAATTTATTTCTTTGACCTTTCTAATTCTTTCACTTAGTATAATGTCCTCAAGTTTCAACCACAATATACCACAATTTGATTATCCAGATATCTATTTGTTGAAGCTAAGAACACAATACCCCAAAGTATGACACCATGGCATCCTGAGTACTTTGAACTGAAGGAGACAGTAAGGACCTCAGAAAAAAAGTCTTTCTACCCTTTTCCTGCCCTTCTATCTAATCCTTCTCCCCCAAAGCAAGTCAAAGAAACCAGAATTCCTTTTCTCCAAGGTGGGTCATAGACACTAGAACTCTTTCCCCCAAAGCGGCCCATAAAACCTAAAAAGGTCACTCTTTCCCTTCTCCCTTGAAGATTCTCATGCCAGGAGGCGCCTGTCCCATAAGGCAGGAAGAAGGAATGTTATACTGAGAAGTCAAGAAGAATCTGAATAGTCTTGCTGGGTTTTCCAATTCAGTCTGTTACCAGGAGATTATATCTTTTTTGTTTAATCACATTTCTACAAGACTGTCTAATTCATCAAACCTAAGCATAAAAACAGTTTTCCCTGGGTCTTTGGTCGTCATTTCTGAAGGTTCCTGGGTCAGAATTAAATAAATTTGTTACACATTTCTCTCTTTTTTTTTTTTTGAGTTGGAGTGTCACTCTGTTGCCCAGGGTGGAGTGCAGTGGCACGCTCACAGTTACCCCAGCATCAACCTGCTGTGTGCCTGTGATCCTTCCGCCTCAGTCTTCCAAGTAGCTGGAACTACAGGCGTGCGCTACCATGCTGGGCTACACATTTCTCTTTTAACCCGTCTTTTGTTACAGGAGTGCTGGCCATGTTTCTTATATGAGCGAGGAAAGGTATCACACCTCTCCACCCAAACAGTTTCTGGTACCCAACACATATTGGCTGCTCCAGAGCCTGGAAATGAGATCCTGGAACAACTGACAGAAAGCCAGCAGAGAAAGGACAGAATTTTTTTCACCAAGGTCAGTCTACTGGATCTGCGCCTGTAGAATGCCCAGTCGAGAATGGAAGGTAATTTCTCTTTTTGCTTTTCTTTCCAAATTCAGACTAGCAAGAGAAAATAATTTGTTATTATATCAATTTGTTATGTTTTCTCTTATTCATCTGTCTTTTGTTGATGATGGTATAGAAGAAAGATATCACGCTTTTCCACCCCTATATAATCACGCCACCTATGTCTGAAAACAGCCTAATACACCGCCACTTTAGAATGCAAGAGAAGCCTAGAGAAGGATGTTCTAAGAATACAGCTACAGATTTTATACAGAAGAGCTATTATGGCTAAAGCAACGTTTTTTTTATAATTAAGAATTTTAGCCGGGCTCGGTGGCTCAGCCTGTAATCCTGTGCCTTTGGGAGGCTGAGATGAGTGGATTGCCTGAGCCCGTGGGTTCAAGACCCGCCTGAGCAACTTGGCGAAACCACATCTCTACAATAAATCAAAAAATCAGCCGGGTGTGGTAGCGCATTAATTCCGGCTATTTGGAAGGCTGAGGCGGAAGGATCGCCGGAGCCCAGCAGGTTGAGGCTGCGATGGCCGGGAGCGGCCACTGCACTCCAGTCTGGGAGACAGAGTGAGACTCCAACTCAAAAAAAAGAAAAAAAGAATTTTATTTGCTGATTTTTCACCACTAGAATCTAAATATAACAAAGCCCCTGCCCCCAATACCATAAAAGCAACCACTACAAATTGCTACGAATATTTGTTATTATTTAATATGCTAAGCTTATGATAGTCTGTGGATGAACTACATATTCTGTGCCTATTCTCAAGGAGCTCACACTCTAAAAAAGTTGTGAAAACAGCTGTGGACTATATCAAGATGAATCACATAAACTGCCATCTTCCCACTTACCCTACTAAGTGTCAAAGACTAAATAAAATTAAAATGGAAAAGATAAGTTTCTATTCCATTTTCTAGACCTAAAGAAGTACAAACAGGCAAGTAATAAAATTCTTGAGAGAAAAATTAAGGCCAAAAATGAGATGTAAAGATATAAACATAACATATGGGAAATGTTTGAAATGAAAATCACTTAAGCAATTTTACTATGTTCCAGACATGAACAAAATGTAATACTCACAGATTTCTAGCCAGATGGATTTTCATATTGATAATGAAAGCCAAAGTATTTAATCAACTCAAAACTAGATAGAAGTAAATCAGAATAGGCACTTCCACAACTATCTTTAATCATTAAGGTTTTACAGAGAAAATATTCAATCACATAAACCATATAATAAAAACTAATAAACCAGCAAGTGACATGAAGGAAGCCTCAAATGAGCTGCACTCACAATTTTGGTGAACGGGTTTAAAGTTGTACAGGAAGCAGCAGTATTAGTTTCTTCTCGGGCAATGTTCAACCTAAAATTCTAAGCTGACATATTACATATTACCATGTAATCTATTTTAAATAATTGGTTTCCCACTCATTTCCTAGAGCAGCCAAAAAGAGAGGCAAGCTCTGCCTACCTGACTGACCCAAGCTCACTTTACTACTGCTAGAGG